GGGAACAAACGAAAGCTCCCCACGGATTTATCAGAGGCAGGACTATGAACCGAGGACTGCTTCGTGCAATCTAAATCAATCCTCTAGTTTTTCGGTGAGACCAACTCACAAATCCCTTTCAACCAAATTTTCCCTTTAAATATAAGGTCGAGCCCAATAAATTTGTTAAGGGCTTCTTCTTTTCTTCATATAATGATTGAGTTTTCCTGAAAGTCATCTTTCTCTTTGACCAACTCGCCCTTGTGACGATTTATGGGAGGCTGATGAAATATTGATCTGCCTGGTTGAGCTCGGATGAGTAGGCTTTTTAGGAGGCAAGACTCATTTTAGGAAAAGTAAACTGTCACTACTCGCACCACCTTACGTGGCCTGGGCTGACTGAAATTCTAGAAAAATCGCTTGGCCTCTACAACGATTCGTTCAACAACTCGACCTAGTTTAGGCCATCACGAGTTTTGAGGAATCTCTTTGGTCACGATTGTCCATTTCTAGTAAACGTTTGTGTGGCTGTGTGCGTGTGTGTGATTAAGAGTATGTGGAGATCAAGTCCACCAGTCCTCTTGACCAGCTGTAGGTTTGCTTTACTGGAATATTCTGTTTTACGTTGTCTCCGAGACAATCTCATCGGATTTGGGTGTTGGTTCGACCTCGTTTTCGCAACTTGGTCCGAGCGTCAGGGAGACCTTGCGGAACGTACCTAGTCCTGTGTCCTCTGCCATAGTATTCGTGATGTCCAGCATCGACAATTGACTTGTTACCTTCCTAAACTTTTCTCATACTAGATCGAACCAACACTAAAGGTAAAGGAGACTGCGACCAAACTGAAGACCACACCACCTTGGTCTTCATATCTACAAAATAGAAGTGAGCTAAACAACTCAATAAAGTTTTACGAACTCGCTTAGTAGGGGCGATATGCGTGGCACGGTACAGCAAATATTTATTTCGCTTATTTCGCCCTTTTACCATGACCCTCTTCCCTCCCTTCTTCGGACCCTTTTGTTCATTCCGATCCAATTTACTATGGACAAGGCGGAGGTTCAGCCAAACCACCGACAACTCCGCCAACCTGCATTTCTCAGACACCTCACGTCTGGTACCTCCAACGCCTGACCTACCGACCTCTGAGTCACCCCGTCGGCTGAGCCAATCGGGCAAAGCTGGACCCGGCGGAGTCGAGATGGGGCCGGCGAGAACAGGCCGACAAGAGACTGACGAAGACAGGGAACAGGCGGAGACAGATGACATCATAGACGGCCGTGGGAACGACGATAGAATGCGGCGAGCAGAGGCTGATGTTATTCGAGAAAAGAAGACTCTCTTGTCGGCCAAAGAGCGATGGCATTATGCGTTTACTCGAGTTTGCAGCCGCCTGAATGAGGTAACTATCATTTCTTTTATTGCTTTTTCTTGACTCCATCGCGGGAATCTGGTGTCGGTAAACGAACAATTTCCACTCCTCTCTTTCAACCACATCCTTCAATTTCTGCAATTTGACTAGTCAGCTTCAGCATCTAACTCTAAAAACCATGAAATTGACAAGATGTTAGTTCGAAATTACTGAATAAGGTTTTCTAAATTTTGCAGATTAATTTTTAAACATTTATTGGCCATACTACAAGTTTGCCTTTATCCAAGCATTTGTAGACGTAATTTGTTCAAGGCTAGCAGGAATCTGATTTTCAAAATGGTATAAAATCCTCATCTAATTTTGTAGATAATAAGAGCTATTCTTATAAATGTCTTGATTTTAAGTAAGAAAATGTTTCGCCCTGCATCACATAAAGTGAGATATAAATGATAGATGGAATTATCAAAATTAAATAAGTAAAAGGTCTTGTCCCCAAAAA